ATCAATTGGTCTGTGTCTGATGGTTCCTGTAAAAATCCTACCAGGCAGACTCTCTCCCACAGGTCACCCACCTGCACAGCGGGACTGCTCATTTTCATTTTTCATCTCCTCCATCACATGATGCTGACAGTTGGTTTTAAGAAAATTGAATCCAAAAAATATCTAGTTCATAGGGCACATGGGTCAGGAAAAAGTTGCATTATGGGTACCAGCGATCCAATTAATTAATATTTATAGCTGAGAAGCTCTATGTAGATATTTCTGAATAAGGATTTTATCAATAAAATCCAATTTCTTGTTTAAAACATTCATTTCTAGAGAAAGAACACTGTAAAAGCAGAAAGCAAGATAAAAATGGCATCCATTAATCAAATGATTTATAAACCTATGAATTGATGTGCACATAGTTGAGCTTATAATTTATATTCGCTGTTCATTTGTATTGTGTGTGCAGTCTGTTTTAACAATCTATTAAATGCAAGGGAAGGATTTACGTTGGTATTATATTTTGCTTCCTATGAATATCATTCATGTACCCTTCCTCTTATCACCTACATCCCCACCCATCACATGTATGATTTAGACATTTAGACTTTAAAGAATTTTTCTAGCAGTAAACTCACCTACCTTGAAAACGGAAACTGATACTGATGTTGCCCGAGGAGGGAGAAGGGACATAGCATGCTGCTGGTGAACAGTGTCAGTCAGGGTACTTGGCACAATTTGGGCTATAGAGTCATCTCACAGAGATGGGAAAGAGTCTAGCTCTCATTGACATCTCCCTTTTTTTATGTCTTTATTATTGGATTTTTTCATTAAATGTCTGACCCCAAACCTAAATAAACGGGCTTATCCATAATCACTGTTTACCATTTATTATCCAATTACTATTATTATATATTATCCTTTATTATCCAATTCTATGCCCTGGGTTAGGTACATGTGATTCTTATAGAGAGTACACTTAAAGAATCAGAACAAAGGCAAAGACAAACACCCTTAATAGCTATAAAAAATATATATATATATATTAATCCAATAGAATAGTAACATGCCGTGGACTATGGTGACAATATGGTTTATTGTTACATGAAATCAGATACACTGAAAAGCAAAGCATTCTTTTCAAATAGAATGTCTTGGGTTTTTAAAAGGTTGGCCTACAGGAAGGTGTTAATCCTACTCACCTTTCTCAGCCATCAGTATATCTTGGAAGGCCTGCTCTGTACCCGGCAATGTGCTCTCTCAGCAAGGGCCCAGGCACAGCATTCGCCCTAGCCAGTGTGTGCNTGGCCTACAGGAAGGTGTTAATCCTACTCACCTTTCTCAGCCATCAGTATATCTTGGAAGGCCTGCTCTGTACCCGGCAATGTGCTCTCTCAGCAAGGGCCTAGGCACAGCATTCGCCCTAGCCAGTGTGCGATGAAGGAACTCTACATCTGAGAACATCTTCCACTCCCAAGTTTTCAGATCTGCCTTTCCCCTTCCTGTCCATTCAACAACTGTGTACTGAGTACCTGAGCTGGGCCTGGGCTATGCTCTAAGGACACACTGGTCAACAAAACCAAGCTTCATCAAGAACATAATGATGCCATCTGCCCCCTTGCTTGATCCCTCATAGGCGGTATCCTCACACCTCAAGAGGGACTAAATGAAGTCACTAGTTCAGGACGTCAGTTTGGAGGCCAGGTCTGCATTTTGTTGATTAAAATGGTGGAGCGGAGGAGAGCCAGACAATGACTATATTATTTGGATGTGGCTGTGGGACCTCCATGCCTAGGCAAGCAGATGTCAGGACAAACCCACACTCCTGTTTGGCCAGAGTGGACAGGCATCCTGGAAGAGTTTAAATCTCAGCTACTGTTTAAGCAACATGGAAGAGAAAGGGCATTTTTGACATCTGCTTAATTAAAATATCAAGGTTGGTAGTGGGGTTAAGGACTGGCTGAAGATGCCTATAGACAGGTGTGGTTGAAATGCTGCAGGAACAAGTGCTCTTTCTCACCTTGATGCCATGGGCCTCAGAAAAGATGTCATATGCCTCAATCAGAATAGGAGCAACAAGTAGAACCAAAGTTAGATTTTCTTCATTTTCCTGGAAGATCAAGGTATAAGTAGTTTCCATGAAATTATTTCTGCTAAGGCAGTGACTTTTTAAAGAAGAGGTTTGATAAAGGCATATCTGGACAACCTGGNAGATCAAGGTATAAGTAGTTTCCATGAAATTATTTCTGCTAAGGCAGTGACTTTTTAAAGAAGAGGTTTGATAAAGGCATATCTGGACAGGGGCAAGGAGTGGCCAAGTGAGCCACATAGAGAATTGCTCCACAGCAGCAATTATTTGAGATAACAAATAATTATTAGTGGCAGCAAAGGGCCTGTGTGTGGAATCCATCTACTCCCAGGCCTCTCCCTCCACCCCCACACTTCTCCCAGAAACTTAAGGTAAGGACTTTTGTTTACATTTGGCACAGTCACTTAGGACAGAGAACTCCTATGAATGAAATGTTACCCCCTACCTTACACCATATACCAAAATGAACTCAAAATGGATTAAAGATCTAAATGTAAGGACGAAATTCTTAGAAGAAAACATAGGGGTAAATCTTTATAACCTTAGATTTAGCAATGGATTTTTAGATATGACACCAAAACAACAAAATAAAAAATGGATAAATTGGACTTCACCTAAATTAAAATTGCTTGTGCATCAAAGAACACTATCAACATAGTAAAAGGCAATCCAGGAAAAAGCAATAAATATTTGCAAATTAAGATACAAATATATAAAGAACTCCTATAACTCAGCAACAAAAAGACAACTCAGTTAAAAATGCACCAAGGATTTGAGTAGCTGTTTCTCCAAAGATAGACAAATGGCCAACAAGCACATGAAAAGGTGCTCAACATCACTAATAATTAAAGAAATGCAAATCAAAACTATAGTGAGATACCAGTTCACACCCACTAGGATGTCTATAATCAAGAAAAAACAAAAACAGAAAATAGAAAGTAACAAATGTTGGCAAGGGTGTGGAGAAATTGGAGCATTTGTATATTACCAGTGGGAATATAAAATGGTGTAGCCACTGTGGAAAATAGTTTGCCAGTTTCTCATAAAGTTAAATACAGAATTGCCATATGACCCAGCAATTTCACTACTAAGTTCCCAAAACTGAAAACAGGTGTTTAAACAAATACTTGTACATGAATATTCATAGCAACACTATTCACAAATTTAAAAACAGCCCAAATGTGCACCAGCTCATGAATGGATAAACAAAATGTGGTATATCCATAAAATGGAATATTATTCACCATAAAAAGAATGAAGTACTGATACATGCTACAATATAGATGAATTTAAAAAACATTACGTTAAGGGGAAGAAACCAGACACAATAGGCTGCATATTGTATGATTCCATTTATATGAAATATCCAGAATAGGTAAATACATAGAACAGAAAGTAGATTAATGGTGTCAGGAGCTGGGGCAAGGTGAGAAAATGTGTGACTGTTTAATGATATGGGGTCTGTTTGGGGGATGACAAAATGTTTTGGAACAAGATGGAGGTTATGGTTGCACAACATTTTAAATGTACTAAATGCCACTAAAGTATAGGTTTGAATATGGTTAATTTTGTTATATGAATTTCAGCTGAATCAAAAAGGGGAAGGGGGGATAGAAGGCTAACCTTCTAAAAAATCATTATAGTAAGAAGTGAGCAGAGGGTGGAGAGGATGCCACCCTCAACTGAAAGAACTTTTGGCTCTCTTGGCCAAGGTAGGGCCATGCAGGGGTGAAGTCCTCGGTACTACAGCCCACACGGACAGCAGGGAGCAACTGCACTGTGAATTCTCCACAGAAGGCCAAGGTTTCCTCTCTGCATGGGGAAGACGACAGTGTGGCACTGCAGAAGGGGACAAGCAGGCCTGACCAGGCCTCACGACCTCAAACTTCTATACGGAGATGATGTGTTGACTCGAGTCAGTGGACTGATGGATCGAATCCCTGGGCAATGTGACTTGTACCTAGGAGTGGTTTTTTTTACCCTTCCTGGCAAGACATTTTTTTTTTCCATCCTAGAGACTCAGTGAAAATACTTAAGGACCAAAAAGAAATGTGGACAGGAGCAGGATAAACAATCCTTCTCTCTTTTCAAACTATTCACATGGAAGTAGTTACTGAGTTTAAGCAGCAGCATTGGAAATGCATAGTCATATGCTGGAAGTTGGCAAGAGACTGGCAATTCGGGTCATGCCGACCAATTTTCATTCTACTTAAACTATGTCTGATGATAGGCAATGGAGGAATTATAGACAGCTGGAATTAAAAAGCATGTATGTGGTCCATTTTTCTGTTTCTTGTTCATAAAAATGAACACAATGACCTATCCTTTTCATGGTCTATGTGATGCTGTAGGCACTTAATTAAGACCAATATTACCACTGATGACTTGGGGAAGGAAATTTGATGAATTCTCCATATTAATCCAAGATGAGGTTAGATCTTTTTTTTTTTTTAATCCTCACCTGATACATGCTTAGAGAGTGGGAGAGAGAGAGGGAGAGAGAGGGGGGAGGGAGAAACTTGGATCGGTTGCCTTCCATGCATGGCCCTCCTGGGGACCGACCTGCAACCCAGGCCTGTGCCCTGACTGGGAATCGAACCAGCAGCCATTCGGTGCACAGGATTACGCTCAACCAACTGAGCCACTCTGGCAGGGCAAGGTTAGATCATTTAAATTCACGGAGTTAAATTCTTTGAAGGGAAGTAAAAGCAGTCAGAATATTTATCATAAGAACTTTGGGGGTAAAAGAGACAGCTTTGCTCAGATACATGTGCTTGGCGTGGCTGTGGAGGAAACAGATAGGCTCACTTTGGCCTGACCAATTTTGGTGTCTCATGTAATTTAGGAAAAATGAATGATGTAAGGTTTTTTTGGTGTTGTTTTTTTTTTTTTACCATATAACAATTTTCTCTTTTCCTCTTTCCAGGATTAAGTTGTCATCATTCTGGGAAGAAAAAAACAAAACACATTAATGAAGTGGCCAATAATAGGAAGGGAATCATGGATCAGTTTCCTTTCGCTCCCTGTGGTGGATTTCACTTACAAGAAAATTGAAGCTGGCAAGACCCTGTTTTCTCTACAATTTATTCAAAACCTTGCACGCATTTGGATACCTTGTGATTTCCAAGAACTATGTGAAGATTAAGCTTCGCTTACTGATACATGGCATGTATTCTTTTCAGTCTTTTGTGTTTGATTTTGTTTGATTTCCCTCGGCAGCGCAGCGTCTCTGTAAAGGTTTTTATGCTTTTACCAACCATGTCTTAAATACATTAAGACAACACATTTGGTGTTCACACTTCTTCAGTAATGTCTGTACTTGAAAGCCACACAGTGGCATGAAACGATGTGTGCTTTCCTGGAGACCAGTGCACAGTTTGCAACCACTAGGAAGGAAATGTTTAGCTGAAGCAAACTCATGTTCCCTGACTGACTTGACAACTCGGTTCCTGGCCGTGGGGCTCCACTTGTCGCCTACCTTTTGAGGACATTTGCAAGTGTGATTTTTTTTTTTTTCTTGGAAATACCGCACATTTATCTAGGATATCAGAACCTGCTTAGCATTTTCAAGCCACATAGCATGACTGTTTTCCAAGCTGGTTGGAAATGGAGAATCACGTATCAAGCATTAAAAACAGAGACAGGGATAAATTGCTTCCTTTTCAACCTCTGGAGACTGAGGTGACTTTTTACATGTTTTCTGGGTCTTGTCAACATCTTATTTTTTCCATCCACTCTTTGACACTTTGTGTTTTCTTAGTGGAGAAGAGAGTGAGGAACAGAATGTTTAAAACTTGGGCCCACAGAATGGGACTGGCTGGATGAGCTCTGAAGGCCATCATTGCTCATTAACATTTAAGAAGCAAACTACAAAGTGATCCAAAGTTAAAAATCGGCTCATTTACATCAGAGCAACTTTAAATTACATTTTTTTAAACATTCCAAGCTGACTTGAAGCCATCATTGGGTACCCTGACCTTAAACTGTCTCCTGGAAAAACTGTTTGAATGCAGGTTTTAGAAGCAATACGGGAGTCTTGCTTTAAAGAATGGGAAAGGGAAATAGAAAGGCCTGGCTTCCCTTCTTGAAGGAGTTGAGAGACCTTGGAGGGTGGAGGCGAGTATGTGACATGGAGAGAGAAGTGGGTTGGGCATCTGTTGAGCTTTGATCTGGAGGGAGAGCTGTCTGACGTGGGCTGTCTCCCAGGGGGAGAGGCCTCCCTGCAGAATCCCAGAGTATACCGAGGCTAAGGGAGTGGTTAAATTCATCTAAAGCATGAAACCTAGTTCTTCAGGACACAAATTCCTATGGAAATACTTCGTGTACATTGTTTTACATTTTCCTGTTAGAAAGAAGGAGAGACCAAGAACTTGAAATGCATTGCACTTTGGGAGATCAAGTCTAGGAATTATGAGCCAGTTTGATAAAGACTTTCTCTGAGAGTCGGGTAAGGGGAAGAGATTTTCTACAGTTAAACCCAGTATACCTAGGGAATTGGACCCAGAATTCCTAAACATTAAAATGGTACCTTCCCTGCAGTGGGATGTGAGTATATAATATATTCAAGGTCACAGTCCATCCTATCCAGAAGTAGCATTCATTGTAAGCCTCTAAGTGTTAAGCAAGGAATTATTTACTGATTGATATTAAAGAGAGCAAAAGTTACCCAAGGCTAGAGTATTTACTATTTGCCGCCTAGAAATCTTTCCATTCTTCTTTCATACATTCCAACTCATTGGTAGTCTTTAGAGGTATTTTGATTTAACGTGCATTTAAATTAGGATTTCTTACAGTAAATATGGAGAAGAAAACCTTACATGCAACTGAAAACAGCCTTGCCTGTGGTTTGTCTTGAATGAGTCATTTGGGGGAGAGGTGTAACTTTTGTATTTTACTAAGTTTCAACCAAGAGCACCTGATGATTGTCTGGCTATTTAATAAGCTTTCTAACTTGAAATTTTGAAAATATTTAGTGTTAAAAGACTTCCATCAGGAAATGTTAGAGTCATTTAGAAATATATCTCCGCTGCCCTAGGCAGCTTCTCTTGGGAAATGAAACATACTAGCACGCAGAGGGGGTAAATCAGTTTTATTACAGAGACATACCTCTCAGAAGATCTTGTTTAGGAACTTCTGGTTCCCCATCCTTGCCATCAGTACAGAACATCCAAAGTTTGGTTTCTCTCTCCCTCCTTTCCTCTCCCATTTGCGATCGTGTCCTACCTCCCCTTTTCCCCCCCACCGTCTCTAGCTGAGGGCAGCCATGAAAAATCATCACAGAATGTGCTCATGAGCAGATTTATTATTCCATTGAGAAAGCACTGGAATGTTTTGAGAGATTATTTTTACAGGAAGGAGTAGCTTGAATTCAAACAGCTGGACTAGTGAGAACACATGAGCATGGGGACGTATCAAGGCAGCGTCCCTGCACACACAGTATTCCGAGGGGAAACGTGGGACTTCATGTCCATGTTCTTAAAGGACCAGTGTGGTTGACTTACAAATACAAGATACGCAGGACATGAAAAAAAATGTTTGCAGTGCCCAGAGAAAAACGGGGGGCACAAAGCAAGGGTGGCTGTCCGCCCTCTGATACAAGGGTGAGAAGCTATTTCTACCTCGCGAGAGTGATGAGAGAAGTTTCCAGGGGCGCCTCCAGGCTTGCAGAGAAAGCGAGGCCTCTGGGTATCCTTTCCTCCGTGTGTACATGACAGCCAGTGTAGTCCCTACCCTAGGTCATGCATCTGTATAAGATACTCATCTGTGAATATTCCTGGTTTTGTAATCTTTGTTATATAAGAGGAAGTTTAGGCTGTACATACTGGGGTAGATTATTGCCTGCCCCCATACATAGGAATATGCTGCATAATTGTGCATAACTTCCATCTCCCTTACTGGCTTGTAGGCAGAGGAAACCACATATGTTACTGCCTTGCAATCCTCATACACCAAAAACAAAACAAGACAAAAAAAAAGCAAAAACAAAACAAAAAAAATCTCAAATAAAATCAGCAATCTCCTATTCTCATTCCCTTCCCACAGCAGCATATTTTAGAGGCACATATAAAATCTACATTCTCTAGTTGGGAGTGGATTTTTTTTAATTTTTATTTTATCTTTTTTTTTTCTGTAAGATACACTGAGATGCGTACTTTCGAACAGGGGGTCGGTACCTAAGAAATGTGCTAGCATCATTCAGAAAACTATTATACTTCAAAATAACACATAGTAAGGAGAATGGAATAATACATGTTGCATATTTGTTACCAATTGTAATTTGTCTGTATTATGAAAGATGTAATGGTTTGTCAGCTGTCTCTGTTGTTTTCTTGTAACATGATATGGAATAAAAGAATCTCTGTACATTTTCTTGGTACATCTTCTTGGTGGGTACCCAAAACACTGTGTCAAAGAAACACCGTCTTGAAAACTCTTAGGCACAACCATTCTCTAAAAGAGAAATAGAGACAAAATACACAGTTCTCTAGGATGTAGGAAGAAGTGAGTGAGCTGGAATGTTCCAGGAGTCTTTTAAACCCTTTCTTTCCTTGATTAGTGAGGCCAAATTTAGGTGAAGGGGAAGAGACTATGCAAAACAAACCTTGTGAGCTCGAGGGTCCTCACAGCCCCCCGGCTCCTTACTGACGTTCGCCACGTGTTCTGTGCATCTGGAGCCAATCTGGTTTTGTTTAATGACAACCCTATTTATCTTTTATTACCTCTTTTTCCTTTCTTTTTGTTTTGTTTTGTTCTGAACATACCCTAAGATGAGGTTACCCCCCACTGGATTCAGAGCTTCAGCCCCCCGACGTTCTGCCAGAGGCATTACTGTTCTCCGAGCCCAGCACTCTTCCCTGCGCACCACCTAGTGGCGCCTGCACCTGGATGGGCAGGGAGCTCGCACTGGGATAGACAGTGTCTCCTTGGGAGGCTGTGTCATTTCTGTCATCACCCCCTCCTTGTCAGATATGTTAGCTTCATAACCCCAACCGAACCCCCATGAATAGATAAATTGCTAATAAGTTTCATGTCAGATACAGCCATCAATTTATATTGATGATATTCAGTGATTTAAAAATATCTTTGAAGGTAAAAATCAAAAGTTCAAGTCTCATGTTAAAAGGGCACAGGACCCCTGGCTTTCCCCTGGGCAGACCCTCCCCTACCAGCAACAGCGACCCCAGGTCTCCCTCCCCTTGTTCCACTCCTAGAACTTCTGCGACTTCATAGCTTATAAGCCCTTCACAAACTAACGTTCTCACAAAACCAAACATAAGTGTTCTAGGCTGATGCATGTTCCGTCCCAGAAAAGCTCACGTGAGCCCATGCCCCCTGACTGCCCCTGCTGTTTGCCCTAAAGCAGCGACTCATCTGTCCCAGAGGCATTTTCACAGTCCCACCGCCACCTGCGGACCCCGGGACAGGAAATGGGGAAGACTACACGGTGCCCAAGGTGGAGCTAACAGACAAATTTCTCAGTTACATGGGAACCAAGTATTACCCTGGAAACTGATTAGAATTCTAGAAATGTCAAAAGAATAACTTGTTCCTGAGAGTTATTTCAAGGGAGCAACGTTTTGCCAGTGCCCCCCTTCCGACTGCCACGGGGGCGCATAGGCCCCTTGCGGAGGCCACTCGGCAGCCTCAGCAGCGGGCTCACATTTTAGAGCTGACTGTGTGCCGGGGTTGATGTAGTCCCACGAGCTCTCGAAAGATGAAGGCAGAGGGCTGGTATCTCCAAGAGAGCAAAGAAATGGCTCTGGGAATTCCTTTTTAACTTTTTAAATGTGGCAGTGGAGACGACAGTCATCCCTTATCTTCATAACGGCCCGATGCTCCCTTTTTCTTCAGCAAGGGGCTGTCCGGCTCTGTCAGGTTGGAGGCTGTGCTGTCCTCAACTTGGCCCCAGAGTAAAGAGCAGGCGGAGGGGAGGGTGTCAGCACCCCTGAGCCCCTAGGCTAACTCGTCCAGTTGCTGCGATGGCAGGCGTTGTAAATCGCAGCAATGAGAACCCCACAGCGGCCCAGCCGCCTGCTGCGGCCGGTGGGTGGTGGCGTTATGGGCATTAGCTTTGAGAAGCTTATACAGCAGAGGGTGGCTAGGATAAAGGACACAAATCAGGGGAAAACTGACAAGATTTAAAAAACCCAAGGCCTCATATTTACTGTTCGTCCCCCAGGCTCTGGCTGTGCTATATTGTCTGCGTTGAGTCCTGCTGAGAGAGAGCCACGCACAATAATAGCCGGGAGCAGCCTCGCGGCCCCAGAGCCGGCCTCTGCCAATAGTGCAGCCTGTGCTGGTGGGGAATGGGATTCCGATAGAGTTGTCTTTTTCGTCCTGCCCTGCAAGACCACCAATAATTATGGTGGGGTAAGGGCTCCCTGTTGGAGTTTGTCCTGAGAAGTGACGCAGCGTGGTTCCTGGCGGAGGTCGGTGCTACAGCAGCCCAGCGCGCCTGGCAGATGGGGACAATGCTGGGGAAGTGCAGGGACACGTGTCTGCACCAGCGGTTCAAGGATTTAGAGAGGTTGCTTGGGGCGATGGGAGCAGGAAGCGCTGTACAGATGCGTCAGAATACGGTGTGAAACAATCAATGATTCTTTTCCCTCTCTCCATCGACAACCAACTCAGGTAACTGGGTACTTTGCATCCTCAAAGAAAGGCTATAATCCACTCAGATCCTTGGGGAAAGCAGGCACAAGTCCTGCAACCTTACTCTGCCTAATATTTGGAGAATTCAGACCCTCATGTATCCACACCATTAGCCCAGTGACTTGCAGCCCTGGCTCTCAATTAGACTCATGGGGAAGTTTTAAAAACACCCCAACCCCAGACCAATTCATTCTAAAAAGACTGAGGGTTGGGCCCTGGCATTGGTCTGTTTGAGGAGCTCAACAGGTGATTCTATTGTACAGCCCACGAGAGAACTGCTAGACTGTCCTTCCTCCTGTCTGTCTGTGAGAGGGTAGGCAAATTTCTTCTGGAAGAGCCAGATAGTAAATATATTTGGCCTTCAGACTGGACAGTCTGTCACAACTACTCACTCTACTGTTGTAGTGTGAAAGCAGCCACGCACAACTCGAATGAGCATGGCTGTAGTCCAAACAATTGACGGGCACTGAAGTTTGAATTTCACACAATTTCACATATCATGAAACATTTTTCTTTTGACTTTAAAAACTACTTAAAAATATAAAACCCATTCTTAGCTCATAGCCTGTATATAAACATGCAGCAAACAGGAATTTGCCTGGGACTGAAGCTTGGTTACCTTGGCTTAGAATGCAGCCCTGGTCATGGTGGATAGGGCAGGACCACCCCCAATACTTGCAGGGCCCAGGGGAGAGTCAAATGGAGGATGACATACCATATATCTGAATCTTTAGTGATATAAATGTGACTTAAAAAATGTTAAATACATTCAATTCTCCTTTCTTGACAAATATGTCTTCATAATGACCTACAAGGCCAGGGTTTTGCTTAGAATTCTAGGACTCCTCAAAGTTCACCAAAACGTGGTGGCATGCCATTTCAAGACTACCTCCTACTTTTCACTTCCCACTCCTAGCTCTAGGAGTGTGATCCGGTGTGAGGAGCTGCCCGGCCCTCATGTCCACGGCTTAGTCCATACCCTTGACAAAGAGCCCTTCCTTGGCCAGCCCTTGGGGAGGGCGGTTTCAGGGAAGACGCCCTTTGCAGAGAGAATTCAGCGGCCTGGACATCTGGAGTATGTGGAGTAGAATTGGGGAGGTAGATTCCTGTTGGTCATGGCTCCAGGGATTCCTTATTCTGTGGGGAGAGCTATGCCTGGAGAGGATCAGAGCCGGGCCCTTTAAACATGGGAACCAAAACAGGGACCCTCTTGCCTGGGTTTAGGGGCACTACAGGTGGGTGATAGGAGCCTGAGAATCAGCTCCCATGAGTTTTCAGGTCCCTTGTGCATTGGCCCAACCTATTCCAAACCTATGGAAGCAGACCTTATAATGTGAAGCAGAACCATTCTGAGGAAAGGGCAACAAATTGCTTCCATCTCCAGGCATTACAGGATCTGGACCCTGGGTCAGTCATGTAATGGAACTTGCTGGTACAAGTTCACAAGAACCAATTGTTAAAAATTTAGGAATTTTGTGAGCCAGTACTTAAATCATTGAAAACTTGAAATCAGATGGGAATACTTACACCACAGAAATCGGCAAACTCTACAAATGAGGTCTTTATTTTCTTTTTTTGAGAGCCAGGTTTCCAACACGCCACTGCCTCCTGTCCCCTTTCTTTCCAGGTTCATGTCCCATTTCTCTATGCTCAAGTCCTCCACATGCACTGTGCTGAGCTTCCCACTGATCCTAGGACACTCCAGGCCCCCTCAGGCCCCTGTTCTTGTGCACACGCTATTACCTCTGGTTGGAATGCTCTTTCCCATTCTTCTAGCAGGCAAGTTCCTATTAATCCTTTTAAGGCCCTGTTTCAACCTATCTGTGTTGCAAAACATTTTAGAACTTCCCTCAAAACATTTTTCCTTCTTCCACATCCCCACATCACTTTGAAAATAGTAACAACACGGGTCTTTTTTCAATCTCTATATCCTCAAGCTCAAAATGGAGACTAAGACACCATAGATGTTTAACGATATCTTTTGTGGGGTTTTTTTAATGAACCCGTTATTAAAGGGTAATACAGATTAAACAAGAGTATCATGGAATTTAGTTTAGCTTCCTAAGAAAGGGTTCAGGAACCTGCAAACGCTGTGAATATACTACATGTATACTATGCCCTGCAATATGCAGTTATATACCAGGTACTGCCTGGCTCTCTGGGAGAAAGAGAAACCAAAGAGAAAAGATCTGTGCTTGTCCTTGAGGAGCTCACTGAAGCAGTGATTCCTACACGTGGCTGACAACCAAAATCATTTGGGGAGCTTCCTAAACATTCCTCCTGAGCCTCAGTCTCCAGGGTGGCAGCCCAGGTGTGTGTACATTTTTAAATCTCAAGTGATTCCAACGGTCAGCCACGACCATGAGCCACCCTGTAGGGGAGTTGAGACACCTAACTTCCTAACCAGGCTGTTTGCCTCCCTCTCAGTCTCCTCTCTAGCCTCACCACCTGAAGGCTCCGTCAAATTGCAAATCATTTGGGAGGCACCCCTGCTTCAAGCCTTTCAGTGGCTCCTCCTCAGCTCCAAGGAGCCCAAGCTCTGTAGAATAGAATCAACCTCCACTCCCCCCATACACTATGCCCCCCCTTTCCCCTCTTCACTTTAATCTCTCCTCACCTCTCAGTTGTCTTCCAGCCTCAGGGAGGCTTGCACCCCCCACTTTTCCTCCCTCTACCTGGACTCCTTCTCCCTCCTCCGCAGGTAGCTGCATCC